AAATGCTTGTTCCTTTTCGCTTCTTGTTAAAAAGGTCTTCTCCCTCTTCCATATGATACTTTACATATTATGAATAGTCAGATGAGCAGACTTTTTAGAATTGTGTTATTAGAAATTATGGATAGCCCCTCAAACACCCTGTCACTACCTGGTTCATCAACCTGTTCAACTCTTCATGACCCACAGTTTTATTTCATAGCAGCCACTCACAGGAATGGTCATATCTTAGATCCCACTAAAATAATAATTATTTTCATCATGCACTCGTACTATATCATAACAGAATTGGGCAAGGATTCATATTGTCTTTAGTCAATAGTAGTACCCTCAGCTACAAGTCTCACAGCAGTATACTGCTGACCAAAGTAGGACAATCATAAAAAAATAACTTAATCCATAGACCTTGATTAGCCAGAGTAAGATGAAAGTGAGGAAGCTACTACAATATGAAGAAGGAAAAATTGGAAGAACCTGAAGTCATTGAAACTTTTCACTTATTACAAACTCTAGATATTATACCTGATAACAAAATGAATGAAAAAAGCAGTGCTGATGTCCTGAATGATTTTGAAAATGCATACTTAGACTGCATTCTGAAAAGCCTTTTTGAGTTTGACAGAATAAATCCAACTAACAGACCAATTATACCAAGAGAAAGTAGTTCAAAAGCTGGTAACTACTATAACCATCATGAGTGAAACTTGTTCTCCTACAGTACTTAAGAGAAAATGTAAAAACATTTCTGGACCAAGGCATATAGTATAGGAAATGACCACTGCCATGCTGGGAACTAAAGGAAGAAAAGTAGAGCTATCAATGAATTTTTTTCTTAACTGAAGCAGTCAGGGTTAAGTGACTCACCCAGGGTCACACAGCTAGTAAGTGTCAAGTGTCTGAGGCTATATTTGAACTCAGGTCCTCCTGACTTTAAGGCCATAGCTCTATCCACTGCGCTGCCTAGCTACCCCTTTGTCAATGAATTTTCCCAAGGACTGGAGTCAGAGACAGCCATGGAAGAAATTGCATGAGAGAGCTGTCAAAAGTCTACAGAAAGGCATTAGAAGATTACTTCACTCTCCAGCTGACGTGTGCAGTAGAATGGCTTGCAAGCCTAATTAAAGGCAACAAAAAAGAAATATGTAGGAAGGAATACAGGGGGAAAAAAAACACATCAGAAATTCTAGACAACCCCTCCCCTGTAACGAGTATAAATTCAACATCAACTAGAAACTTTACTACCTTAGATTAATAGATAAAAAAATTTCAGGTAAGAGAGAACCTGAAAAAAAGGAGGATGTGAAGAAGTTGTGGTCTTCTAATATGGTAAAAAGAAGTCCATAATTTGTGAAAATACAAATTAGATCAAACAAAAATGTAATGCATGTCTACCGTTAATATAGCAAATGATAGAATAGTTAAATCTTAACTGGAGGTCACTCTTGCTCCTTTGCAAAACTGAAAACTGGTGGATCCATAATTACTGGCACGTTGCACATTGGCACATGAATTACTGGCAAAGCACCTCACCAGCTTCCTTTCAGACAGAAGTTTAGTCTCTTGATAGACATTCTCAGGGCATGTAACAAACAGGTCAGAAAACTACAGACATACTTTTGGGACCAGTAGATACCACCTAACCAAGCAGTAGTAAAGGTTATTAACAGGTGACAAAGAAACATACAACAAATGGAGTTATAAGTATTTGTGAAAATGGAAGAGTTTTTGATGGCAATTTAGAACCAGGTCATTGCCAATGGTTACAGAAGGGGTCCTCTTTAAGGAGTCCAGACAATGAACAATATAGATTTTGAAGGAAAAAAACACTGTAACTTATCACTATAGGCTATAAAAAGTTAATATCTAATAAATAACTAGTAAGATATAACCTGGTGGGTAGAATTAATACATCAGAAGTTTACTGCCTTTGGTGGAACGATAGTGGATAAATCTTCAAACTACAAATAAAGACCTGAGAATGCAAGCCTATAGAAAATAAGCTTGCATTATCTTAATATTTTTATTCTGCTGCAAGGAGCAGTTATTTCATCTGTCTATGTAATAGTCCATAGAACATTAAATATGAACGAATATCAGGATAGCAACTTCTCCCAGGAAGTCTTTTTGAAACCCATCAAAGTGATAAGAACCAAAGATAGAACTAATAATAATAGTAACTCACATATATATAGCGTTGCAAGGTTTGTGAAATGTTTTGTATACATTTTCTAATTTGAGACTCTCAACAACCTTATAAAGCAGGTGATATATTATCCCCATTTATAGATGAGAAAAACTGAAGCCCAGGCTCACAGAGCTATTAATTATTAGAGGAAGGATTTAAACCCAGGTTTGTCTGACTCCAGGTCCAGCACTTTATCCCCTACAAAGTACACCTCAACCATAATTATGCCAGGAGCTTGAACTTGAAATTTTTTTGCTCTCATAAGCTTCTGAGCTTCCATATCTCCCTCTTCCTCATTCCTCCTAAACCAGTTCATTATCCTCACCACTTTGTCCACACTCTCCTCTAATCTCTGTTCAGCACCTATGCTGTGACCTTACTATCTCATGGTTTACTACCTGTGGTTTGACTGGTTCAATGTAAGCTTAATATAGTAGTTTTTTTGGCTGCCATACTACACTGTTATCTTTTTGAGAATCAAATAAATTAACATATGGAAAGTGTGTTGTAAACCTTAAAGTATTATATTATTGCTAGCTATTAACCATTATTAGTAGCTTTCAGTCTGCTAAGAAAAGATCCTTAAGCCTTTTCAACATAAATCATTGTTTAGACATATCTAATAATAGTAACTATAACTAGCATTTATACAACATTTTAAGATTGCACAGTGTTTTGTATATGATCTTCACAGCAACCCTGTGGGGTAAGTTGCTCTTATCTCCGTTTTACAAAAGAGGAAACTGAGGCTGTGAGAAAGTGGTTTGCCCAGAGTCACAGAGAACTTAGTAAGTCTCTTGAGACAAGATTTGAACTTAGGTCTCATAATCGCATGGGTTCCTCTAAAACACTGCTTTTAAAAAGCCAGTCTCTCATACCCTTCTCCCTGTCTCTCACAAGTAAATTGCCAGATGAGTCTAGCTGTTCAGGTATAACTGATTTGTAATTCACACCAGGATGGCAGCTACTATTTGGTCAATTGCCCAGGTTCCTTAATCAATCACTAGATAATCAGCAGAGGGAGGCTGTAGTCAAATGAAAACAAGTCTGTCATCACTTCCCATGTCTTCTATTTTTTGTTTGCTAGGCCTGATCTGTTGCTTCTGGGTTGTGAAATGTTTATCATATTCACTTCAGCAAGATTATGTATCTACTATGCACGCAAAATATAGGTATGACATAGGAGGAATTTAAAATCTAATGAAGAGGACAGGAATGAAAATAACTGTGGTATGATTGGAAAACCCAGGCAAACTCCACGAGAAATTTCAAGAGATAGAGAACACATTCATTTCAGGGGGGAGGCACCTTCGGGGGAGGCCTTTTGGAAGGAGTGCTATGTGAGCTGAACCTTAAAGGTAGGGGCTTTTAACATAAGTGGGAGTGGAGGGGAGAATGACATGAATTAAGGCCCAGATAGAGGAAGGGGTAGAAGGAGTTTTGCTGTCATGTAGAAGATGAAATAAAACTGGTCAAGTAGAACAAAGATGTCAGACATGCAACCTGTGGGCCACATGCAGTCGACAACACTCCTAAGTGAGGCCTAAACCAGATTAAGATGTAATTGGGAAATATTTAACACAATAAAAATACAATAAAACTTAGATGATATTAGTATGTGGTTTTCTGTGTCAATACAGAGCTCACAGGGATCCTTACATATAGATTAATGGTCCCCATTTCTATTTGAGTTTGACACCACTGGGCTAGAGCCATGATGGATGGTCTTGTAAGCCAAGAGATAAAACTTTTTCTTTAAGCATTGGGGAGTTGCTACTGTGTGTGTGTGTGTGTCTGTCTGTCTGTCTGTCTGTCTGTGTCTGTGTCTGGGTGTGTCTGTGTGTATTTTCTAAGGGCAATGACATGAATTTAACCTTAACATTAAGGACATTAATTAGTAGCATAGGGGATAAATTGACAAAGGGTGGAACTGGAGGCAACCATGCTAGTCAGGAGGATGCTTCAGTACTCCAAGTGAAAAGGCCTAAACAAGAATGGTACCATTCGAAATGAAAGAGAGAGACTCGGTATGAAAATTACTGAGGCATTGAAATGATAGGGCTTGCCAACTGATTAGATCTGTGGGATGAGGGAGGAGTCAAAGATGGCTCCACAGTTTTGAAGCTGGAAGGATGGTGATATTATCTATAGAAATAGATAAGCTTGGAGGAGGGGAAGATGAGATAGATTATCTTGCAGACAACTGGAAACCTAGGACCTCAACTCTGGGGAGACTGTGGGGGGCAGAGATAGAATTCAGTAGTATGTGCAGAGATGATAGCTGAACCATGAGAAAATAGCACCATGCGATGAAAGTATAAAGAGAGAAGAAAAGAGCCATGAACACAACTTCAGAGGATACCTACATTTAATTAGAATTAGTTAAGTATGAAACAGGAAAGAGAAACAGAGTTCGTGGATAGGAGGAGATACTAAGGAGCAACGTCACAGAAACCAGTAAAAGAACATCATAGCAAAGGAAAGAGTTGGTCATCCATTATATCAGAGGGTGCAGAGAAACAAATGTGGTAATAATGAAGAAAGTCACAACATGTTCACTTATGACATGGGTTGTCTTGTTAATTTGTGGTATCATGTGTAATAGTTTTATCTCCCTGCTATAGTAAAGCTCCTTGAGGGCAGATGCCCACTAGAGTGCTAAGTACCTGAGTAAATGTTTGTTCATTGACTAACAGCTGCAGATATGAAAATCCGCACCTTTGGTTTTGAAATGTATGCATAATGTGCTAGAATGGACGGTGAACTTGAGAAAACTTCTCAAACTTAATGACAAAGCAGATCAATTTCTCTTCCTCAGGCCTGTGATGCAGAAAGCATCATGCTAAATTTGGCAGGACAGCTCATCATGATGCAGAGGGACCGATCTGGCCCTCAAATCCGGGAGAAGGACAATAGCCCTAACCAAAGGAAACTTGTGAGTAAAGTAGAGAGCTCTTCCTAAGGGTTGAAGAAGTGTGGTATATAGTAAAAACAAATAAAAAATCCCACTGTGTTTGGGATCAGAATATCTTGGTTCATAATGTGATTTGGACACTTATTAGCTATGTGATCTTAAGCAAGTTATTTAATTTGTATGGACCTCAGTTGTCTCCTCTCTAAAGGGAAGGGAGTTGGATGAGATGATCTCCATGATCATCCCTGGCCCCAGTATCTGTGACTCTAATGTTCCTTGAATTTGACTCTATTACCACCATTTCCTCTGCAATCTAAAGAGTCTGAGAAAATGAACAAAGTTATCCTCAGTCTTCCAGCTAAGACAGTGTGACAGTTTTTGATTGGTGGAAGATGGTGAGTTTATGTAATTGCTTAATCCACATCCTGAGCGTCCAAAGTATTGATGGTTCAGGCCATTTCTGACTAAAAATTACCCATTTTCAAGTGGAAAAGGATAAGTGGCTGAGGAAAGAAAACTGGTCAACAGATACAGCAGATGTCAGTTGAGAATCCTTTTAAGTGTCATTGAAAGTGGTTTTTCAAATATCCTTCCTACATGGTAAGTATTTTCAAATAGTGGAATTAATTTTCCAGTTTTCAGAATATTTGACACAGAAGCTTGAGACCGTTTTTGAGACTTGAACTGTGAAAGGATCCTCTATGTTCTTTAGTATATCTGCCTTACATTCCATAGGAAGTTGCTGTGTTGAACTTTAAACAAGAGAATGCTAGTTATTTATTAGTGGCAAAAAGTGAAAGATACCGTCCCCTCGATTTACTTTTTTTTTAAATATTTCAATAAAAGCTGATGTTTTACATCTCTCATTCTCCAGCTGCCATTCTGTCCTCCTGTTGTACTAGCCCAATCTGTTGAAAATGTCTGGACAACCTGTCGAGCCAATAAACAAAAACGCCATCTTCTGGAGGCGCTCTGGCTGAGCTGCGGTGGGGCAGGAATGAAAGTATGGCTTCCTCTTTTTCCTCGAGATCATCGAAAACCACATTCCTTCCTGTCCCGACGAATCATGCTGCCTTTCCACATCAACATTTATCCCCTGGCTGTCCTGTTTGAAGATGCATTGGTCCTTGGTGCTGTCAATGACACTTTGCTCTATGACTGTTTGTATACCCGTGGCAATGCTAAGGAACAGTTAGAGGTACTTTTTCCTTTCTGTGTTGTGGAGAGGACCTCTCAGATCTACCTCCATCACATTCTGCGCCAGCTTTTGGTCAGGAACCTTGGTGAACAAGCCTTGCTTTTGGCCCAGTCTTGTGCCACGTTACCTTACTTCCCTCACGTGCTGGAACTGATGCTCCACGAAGTGTTGGAAGAAGAAGCTACCTCACGGGAGCCCATTCCCGACCCTTTGCTTCCCACTGTAGCGAAGTTCATCACGGAGTTCCCCCTCTTCCTGCAGACAGTTGTTCATTGTGCCAGGAAGACTGAGTATGCCCTGTGGAATTACCTTTTTGCAGCCGTTGGGAACCCTAAGGATTTGTTTGAGGAATGTTTGATGGCACAGGATTTGGATACAGCTGCCTCATACCTAATTATCTTACAGGTAACAGTAGTTTCTGAAGTCATTGCAGGAATCAGCAAGCACAAAGTTTGGGCACTCTGTGTTTAATACAGTCAGTATAGTCTGTCTGTTACATTTACAACTGTGCCTTTCCTGAAAAGAACCCCACTGTCGCTTGAAGATATGAACAGTATATTCAAGTGCTGTAAAGCAGCCTGCTGAGTTTTTCAACCCTTTATACAGCACTAGTGCAGCAAATACCATTTTGCATTTTGCAAATGGTGGACATAGCTGAGCTTCCCCCAGTTGTGTTCTTTCAAACTAAAATTGTCTAATAGAAGAGAGGTTAGAATAGGTGACCTTTCAAGTCCTTTACAACTCAAAATTCTATAATTCTAAGATAATTTTATCTTCTGAACTGATGAGAGGTACACAATATATACTTGGCTACCTGTAATAAACAAGGCCCTGTGGTAGACCTAGGAGATAAACCATGGAATTGCAAACCTATGATTTTAGTTAAATATAATAACAGTGAAAACATTCCTGGTAAATGCTTATGTTGGTTGACAGGTTATACCTCTATCTGCATAATGTGAATGCTCCAGCCATCCTTCTTAATCGTGGTCCCAGTTCTGAAAACTAACAAAATAAAATCACGGTTCTATTCCATTATTACTAGCTGGAGTATCTCAGTGACCCAAACAATTTTAAATTAAAATAAAGATGAACTTCTAATTTTCCAAAGTAAAATCTTGGAGTCTATGGGACACTAAGTTAAGAATGTCAAAGCGGGAGGGGAAGAGCCTGGGGAAACTGGTAGTTCACCTTCCAGAAAACCACTAGCTCAATTCCAATATCCAACTACAAGCAACTTGAATAATATGCATGATTAAAACTGAAGTTACAGGCATGCTAGCCCCAGACTTGTCCTCCAATGAAAAGAATCATGGTGGAGTGGAGTGGATAGAAAGCTGTCATTGGAGTTAGGAAGGTGACGATTCTAGCCTGCCTTTGCCACATAATGGTTGTGTGAGCCAGGGCAAGGGATTTCACCTCTCAGTTCCCCACTCTCTTAGACTGTGAGCTGCCAAAATGGTTCTAATCTACATTTGGAGAACTCTAAGGTCCTCACCAGGACCTCCCTGTACCCACACTATAGGAGGTACAGGCCCAGTGTTGAGGGGGGTGGGGGAATTAATAATAGCTGTTTTGCATAACAAAGAATTTTCTACATAGTGAGGTAGATAAGGTATTATGATCCTTGTTTTAGAGATGAAAGAAACTGAAGTGTTTTTAAAAGACTAGTCAGCTTTCCTCAGTCAGAGGCCCAGTGAATGAGAAGCCTCAGGTCTTCCAGCAACAAGGCCCAGGAATGATCTGTCCACTTCATCACCAGGTCCTTTATAATGACCCTTTTTAGGATGATCCTCCCCATCATTTCATTCCCCTTTCCCCCTAAAAAATGATAGGGCTTTTTATATTACTGAAAAAGTTAAATTCTGTTTGACAAAAAATTCCATTTACAAGTTATACCTTGAAACCTATTCTCCAGATATCGTCTGTCTTGAGGAGAAAAATGTGCTCTTGAAGATATGGTTAGTGGTGAAATTTCACATCATTTGACTAATGCTGCAAGATGCAGGCCCCAAAGAGAATGCTAACCTTTCTAACTGCTGGTGTAGCCAGAGAAGGGTAGCCTAAAAACAGAAAGAGAATTAATTACCTTATTTTAAATAAAAATTTAATAAAAATAAAAGCATGGTGTAGTGAAAAAACACTGACTTGGAATCTTAGGAACTGAGCATAGATCTGACTGGTTGCTTGCTTTGTCACTTAACTGCTCTGGGCCTCAGTTGCATCATGTATAAACTGAAAGGGTTGGTGTAGAATAGTAGTTCTCAGACTTTTTGGTTCCAGGACTCCCCTTTACAGTTATGAACATTGAGGAACCCCCAAAAGAACTTTTATGTGGGGCTATATCTATCAATATCTGCTCTATTAGAAATTAAAAGTCTTAGTATTTTCTGAAAATAGTCTTGACCACTGCCCTTTTAGTGTCAGGGACCCCTTGGGATTGCCTCCAGACCACACTTTAAAAACTGGTAGACTAGAAGATCTTGATGATTCCTAGCTAGTTATCCTGAATTAGCTACCTTATGATAAATTTGTAATTTATTTCCAGTTCTTCAGCCACTTATCAGAAACTGGGTTGTTGGTTCTTTCTTTAGTAGACTTTGAAACCTTAATTAGCATTTATTAAGCAGTTACTATGTGCCAGGTGGTATGCTCAATGCTGGGGATACAGTGAAAGACTGAAACAGTCTCTGCCCTCAAGGAACCCACATTCTGATGGGGGGAAACTACATGTAAATAACTGTGTATGTACAAGATGTATAGTGTAAATGGGAGGTCATCTCAGAAGGAAGGAAGCAACTGAGGGGACCAAGAAAGGCCCCCCGCAGAAGGTGGGATTTGAACCAAGTCTTGAAGGGAGCTAAGGAGACTAAGAAATGGAGGTGAGAGGGGATCTCATTCCAGTCCTAGAACATGCCCAGGCATGGAAGCACAGGGACAGATGAAGCGTCGTGTGCAAGGAACAAAGCAAGACCATTGTAAAATGCATCCAGGGGAGTAAAGTGGAAAAAGACAGGCAAGACAGGAAGGTTTAGTAAAGGTTTTAAGTGCCAGAGCACTTTATTTGAACCTGGAGGTAGTAGGGAGCCAGTATAATTTGAGTAGGTGGATGGCAGTCAAACAGGTGCTTTAGAAAAATTACTTTGGCACCTGAGTGGAGGGTGAATTGGAGTGAAGAGAGAGACTGAAGGAAGGGAGATCATTTAGAAGGCAATTGCAATAGACCAACTGAGAGGTGATGGGGTGATAGTTATGTGAGTGGAGAACAGACGTATGCTAGAAATGTAAAGGTAGAAACAAGATTTGGCAACAGATTGAATAGGTGAATCGACATGGAGGAGTCTAAAATGATTGAAATTAAATTTGTCCTCTTGGCACCCTGCAGGAAGAATGTGACCAAAGTCAGGCAGTAAGCCTGTGTATGTACAATATGTACAATAATTAGGGATGTATGCATGTAAACCAATAGATGGATTCACTCTACTTCTGTGTACCAGTTATTTCATAAAAATCATAGAAGGTTACTAGAAGATTACCTTATGCTAGTGGAGTAATTCCCTCACCTTCCCATGGAATTAAGAAGTTTTTACTATTTGTATACCTGAATTTTAATTCCACTAATCAACCAGTCCTCTAGAACTGCTCATTCTAGAAACCCATGGAAAAAATAAACCGGTCATACTATTTGCTCTTCCAGTGGTGCATATGGCAACCCATCCTTGACTTCCTGAGACCCTTGTACTCCCATAAATCTTCTATAGTGGATCTACCTGGCACTCTGGAAGTTTTGCTCTGGGGCTTTTAATATTCTCTTGGAACCAGTTTAGCATTCAGGCTCTTCCTTATCCTTAGCTCATGCTCTTAGTACATGCTCAACCTGCCTCCTTTTCTGATCTTCGATTCTCTAATGATCACTTCTGCTGTGTGTGTCATCATTTATAATTTGCTATAACCTACTTAGACCCGTGGTGGAGTTCCATTGCCCTTTTTTTGTCATCATTATGACTGGTAATAGGAAACTAATTTTCAGAGGGCAGTGGTAGCTGAGTGACCCTGTTTTGTTCTTTATTTTTGGCCATCATTGTTGTGTCTAGAATATGGAAGTCCCAGCGGTGAGCAGGCAACATGCCACTCTTCTCTTCAACACTGCTTTGGAACAAGGAAAGTGGGACCTCTGTCGACACATGATTCGATTTCTTAAAGCCATTGGCTCTGGAGAATCTGAGACACCTCCACCAACACCTACTACTCAGGTTTGGAATAAAGATGGTACCATTTCAGGTCACCCTTCAGCACTTGTCTTTTGTCCATTGGCATTGCACCTTACAAGCCCCCTTTTCTTTTTCTTGTGGACATTTCCCTTTAGGAACCCAGTTCAGGTGGTGGATTTGAGTTCTTCAGGAACCGAAGCATCAGTTTGTCACAGTCAGCTGAAACCTTGCCTGCTAGCAAGTTGAATTTGCAGAAAACCCTCAGTATGCCTTCTGGTCCTTCTGGGAAAAGGTAAGATGAAGGGAGGAAAGTCAACAGAAGTAAAGAAGCAGAAAGGAAAAGAAGGAAACAAAGCATTGATCAAGTGCCTATTTTGTGTCAGACTCTATGCTAGGCACTTCACAGATACTATTTGATCTACACAAGAAGCTTGTGAGGGAGCTGCTGTTACGATCCCCATTTTATAGTCAAGGAAACCGAGGCAGAAAGAAGTTAAGTGACTTGCCCAAGGTCTCACAACTAGTAAATATCTGAGACTAGATTTAAACACAGGTCTTCATGATTCCAGGCCCAGCTCCCTATCCACTGCGACTCCTCAGAATATTCCAATATTTGTATTACCCAGTAATCCTGTGCAGTTGCTGTCATATGTGGTAGGTAGGTAATTTTAAGGATTTGAATAACTGAGTATCATCTGAGGAAATGTTTTGATTCATTTTAATTTCCCTCTTCCAGACCCACCCCAAAATAATACACAATTAGAATTCCTTTCTCTTTCCCCATTTTCCTCCTCACCTAATATTTTTGCCCCTTAGCGCTCATGACTGGTCCTCTTTGCTGAAGAATGAGAATAACAGGTGAGGAAATTGAGAGAAGAAAGAGAAAAGAGTGCTAGTGATGGCAATTATTTTTCTTTGGACAGAGATAAAATGGATAGTTAAAATAATCTCCATACTTTTTCTCAGCTAGTAGTTTCACATTCTCCCCCCCCCCAAAAGCTTCTTTATACCTTTTACCTTGACTGCTCTTGGGTGGAGTCATCAGGAGGAGGATGAAACCATCACCTCCCTCTTCCTGCCCCAAAGACCAGCCACAGAATAGAGAAGCAGAGAGTCAGACAGCATCCAGAAGTGCTAGGACATCCCTTCTACTACTCTGTGAAATCCACCTTGCATTTTCTATACTGTGTAATATCTTGATCATCTTTTTTTTTTCTTTAATCTTGTCAAAACACTTTCAAGTCCTACTTCTTCCTACCTCCCTTCTACGTAGCATCTCACTAAATACCTTTATACTTAGGAAACACTCAGCATTTTGGATTTGTTTTTTTTCTAAATAGTAAGAAAGGTATAGTGAAAAGAGAGCTGAACTCAGGTCAGAAGACCTGAGTTTGAATTCCAGGTTTGCCACTAAACTGTGGGATCCTGGACAGGTCAGGTTTATTTAGGTAACTTCTAAGGTTCCTTCCAGCTTTCAAGTAACTCTGTATGTGTATAATGCTTGGCGCATAATAGGAAAAATTAATGAACACATTTATCAAATCAAGTACTAGTTTTATAGTCTCAATGTTAAATCTTTGGCTGTGTTTGCCATATTTTGACACCCCCCCGCCCCAGTACAGTCATGTCCATTGTCATCTTCTCTTTTTCACCTGTAAGGGATCTATGAACTTTGTTTTGGCATTTATTCTGAACTTAAAGCACATGGTTAGTAATGCTAACTTCAAACACCAGATGGCATCAGTGGCCAAAGTGTCATTCAGCCTCAATATTTTGTATTTATAAACAGTGTGTGCAGTCGGGAAAGAGTACCTAGCAAAATCAATACCTTGGACCAGGTGTGTGGTATGTGCTGATAACCCCAGCTGCCAGGGAAGCACAGGCTGACAGACCTCTCGGGCTCAGAAGTTCTTGAGCCATAGTGAGCTCCCCCTCCCCCATGGTAGGGAGCTGCCAGGCTGCCAGAGGAAGAGATAACTTGGGCCCAGAATGGAAAGGAGAAGTCAAAACCCCCATGGCAGTCAGTGGGATGAGACCCGGGAGCAGCACATTGGCAACCTGGCTGAGATGGAAAGATCCAGCTTTTCGACAGAGAGGAGAGATTCATTACCTCTTTGACTAGTTCTGATGCTGAGCCATCAAGGAAATCATTGACCCTTGTGTCTTATCTTCAGACTCCAGCTTGTCTGGATGCTCTCTGTCCATTGCTCATTTCTCTGGGTGTGCTAATAGCATTTTATCTCTGGTACAAACATTCTGTGGAATTGTGCCATGCTTTTCTTGTCTATCCATTCTCAGGTGGAGCAAGGACAGTGACTCTGCTGAAAACATGTACATTGACATGATGCTCTGGAGACACGCTCGGCGCCTCTTGGAAGAAGTTCGGCTGAAAGACCTCGGCTGCTTTGCTGCCCAGTTAGGCTTTGAACTGATTGGCTGGCTGTGTAAGGAGCGCACCAGAGCTGCTCGAGTGGAAGATTTTGTAATTGCTCTGAAGAGACTTCACAGGGATTTCCTTTGGCCATTCCCAGTCATCCCCATTTCTTCCATCAGTTCACCATTCAAGAACGGAAAATACCGAATAGGTAACAGTCTGTGGTTTCTTGTACTACCATAAACGGGGCTGCTGGTGGATGTCTGGGAAAATTTGTTCATTCTAAGTCCTTGACCAGACTCTTAGAAGGGTAATAATACTTTTAGGCCTCTTGTATACACATCATCTAGGGCAGCCATGACATCCCCAGAATATGTCTGACGTAGAAGCCATGACTAAGCACCAGTTTCCTGCATAACCTCCCTCCTTCACACAGTCTACTCTGTACCACATCAGTTAAGAATAGAGATGGTTGACTGTACTTGGCAAACAGGTTTGCACCTCTGACATGCAGTGCCCTGTGCTGGGTGTTAGGGGTTGCCCTTGAGGAGCAAGGTCTGTAGTCTGGTTAGAGGTGTAAGATATACACAGCTGTATGTAACATAATATTGAAATGTCCATGAGAGGGCTAAAATATTGGGAGAATTTTGAGGAGGGATTAATTTACATTAGGGGGTAGCAATATTATAACTTTTAAACTATATAAGATTTCTTATTCAGAAGAATTATCCTATGGTAACAGTGATTGGGGCAGCCAGCTTTGTAATTTAATAAATTTGTGTCGACTAATGAAGAAACAAAGGACTAAAGTTTGGGGTTTGTTTTTTTTTATTTCAGCTATTTTTCATAAAGTCTCTGTTTCTAATTCCCCTTGATGAGAATGTAATCTATATCCCTTCCAAATGTTATTAAGGAAAGCTTCTTATGATATCCATATTGTATTATCTCAAAAATCATTGTCATCATTTATTCCAGAGGCTCCAGTATATGACCAGAAAAAAAGTTGTTCCTTATGTAAAATAACTATGGCCAGTTCTCTCTTAACAGTAATGAACCATTCTGCAGACCTTCTTCCCCTCTGTGTGGCCCTACCCCTTCTGTGCCCTGCCAGAAAGTTGAATTTGCATCATATGAATTTACATGAAGTAGGAACTATCTGTAGTCTTTTGTTTACTTTCATCGATGACATTATGTGTTCTGATATTTTGGCCACATATTCATTGTTAATATTCCCTAGTGTTGCCTTAATATAATTAACTGTTTCAGTTATGAGGCATTGGGTTGTTACTGGGGGAAGATAGGGCATCTGGGGGTCAATATACACCTTTTATACTGACCTTACATATATATTCACATAAAAATTTGCTGTGAGCTTTCAGTATTTTGAGGGTTTTCAACCCTCAAACAACTTTTGTGTGTGATGCATTGTGAGGTACTGGGATGAAATTGAAAGAGAATAGTGTTATTGTGTAACACAATCTAAGGATTTGTTCTGGAAGAAAGCAGTGTGAGCCCTACTTTTTTGTTTGTTTCTACCCAGGAGGGGGAGAACAATTATTAAAGTCTCAGTCAGCTGACCCTTTTTTAAACCTTGAAACGGATACTGGAGTGCCTAGTGTCCCAAGAAGTCAGAGTTGGCTTGGCAGCATTGGTTCCACCCACCAGGAAATAGATACAGCCTCATCCCATGGACCACAAACACAAGATGCCTTCCTGTCACCTTTATTAAATAAAGGTACATTCCATTACCATTTTACATCAAATCTTTCTCTGGGAAAAAGCAGTTAGAGTATGTAACTCTTTTTGCCTTCATTGGCAGAGGATGAAAAAGATTTTGAGGAATCAATGAAAATAGGTTTATAATTTGAATTTTTGATAGGAATGATTTACCTATGAGCTTCTTAAAACGTATTTAAGTTGCATTTCCAAATGAGCAGTCTTTATCAGACAAATTCATTAACCTCGACTCTTCTTTCTAGTATTTCCAACAGAAAATGCTGTTATACAGCCCTAAAAATGGGCATGGAAAACATTAAAGAGAAAACTAGAAATCATAGTTATACCATAAGTTGGAAATCTAAGTATTAATAATACATACCAGACTCTTCACATTGCTATTTTTGTCAGTTATTTGTATCATACAAAGGTAAGTGAATTCTAGCCTAAAGCAATCTCAAAATAATTTATACAGACATATATACTTAACAAGATATATGTTTAGAAAAGCTTAACTAGCTGTAAAAGGTATATAATTATACTTGCACTACCTACTTTTACAGTTTGTGTAGAAAGTAAGTCTTAAAAGTCCTATAGAAACATGAATTATTCCTTTTTTTTGCCCTGCTTTTAATCTATTAGTGTTTGAGAATATTAATCTTCCATTAAGTGATTTAATGTCAGCCTCAAAATCCTTGAGGTATCATTTTAGTGGGGCCAATTGATAACTATTGTAAATTCCTTATTAGGGGATGAATGCAGTATTGGTTCAGCCACAGACCTAACTGAAACCAGCTCTATGGTGGATGGTGACTGGATGATGGTGGATGAAAATTTCTCTACTCTAAGCTTAACACAATCAGAGCTAGAACACATCTCTATGGAGTTGGCCAGTAAAGGGCCACATAAATCCCAGGTCCAGCTCCGGTGAGTCTCATTGTCCTATTTGAGAGCAAAGAAAAATTTTAATCATACTGGTGACGACAGATGACATGAATAGTTTTACTCTGATGTCATTTGTTTTTCACTGTTTGCATACCCTCCCTGCTTTAACACACTGATTATTTTAATTTTGTGCAGGTATTTGCTGCATATCTTCATGGAGGCAGGATGTCTGGACTGGTGCGTTGTTATAGGCCTTATTCTTCGAGAACCTTCTATAATTAATCAGGTGTTTGGTCTGACACAATCTTCAGAAGTAGATGGAGAGATGTTACAGAACATAAAAACTGGGCTACATGCTGTAGACAGATGGGCTTCTACAGATTGGTAAGCGACAACTTCTATTGAGCTTTCCTGTCTGTGAAATCTCTTGCACAGTTCTGTATTTTTATTGTAAAAGCTAAAAAACAGTTTTATTTTCTGGTTTTTCTCAGTTAAAATAGCTTCACCGTGATCTTACATGGGAAATCTTCATACTACAGAAAATTACAGATTACTAACTTCTGGGGAATGTTATATAAAACTGAGACTGACCCAAGTTCTTGTTAATGTGTTTTTTGGTTTGTTTTTCAATGGAGAACCTCAAAAGAGCTGTAATTGTATTCCACAGAAAGGGACTGAAATTAAGAACTTCCATTTTAAAATGGGGGGAAAAAGTACTCCAACACAGATTTCATAGCAATTGCATGTTCAGAATTTTGGTCAACATTACCACTAGCAGTTTTTACAGGGTGTACAGAACTGGGGCTATAAGAATAAGATAAGAACCACTACTTTTTAAAAGTGTTTTTATTTTGTTAAACATTTACCAATCATATGTGAAAAAAATTTCACCATTCACTTTTTTTTAAATTTTTGAGTTCTAACTTCTCTCCCTCCCTTCTGCCCCTTCCCCTTGAGAAGACAACTTGATATGGATTATACATCTGAAGTCATGCAAAACATATTTCCATATCAGCCATGTTGCAAAAGAAAACAGACAAAAAAGGAGAAAAATATAAAAAAAGTTTAAAAAGTATGCTTTGGTCTGCACTCAGAGTTCATCAGTACTATCTCTGGAAGTGTATAGCATTTTTCATGTGTCCTTTGGAACTGTCTTAGATCATTGTGTTGAGAATAGCTAAGTCTTTCACGGTGTGGATCATCCTTAGAATATTGTTAGTGTGTACAATGTTCTCCCGGTTCTGCTTGCTTCGCTTTGCATCAGTTCACGTAAGTCTTTCCAGGTTTTTCTGAACTCCTCCTCCTCTCCCCCCACCTTGGCATTTCTTTCACATTCATTTCCACAACTTGTTCAGCCATTCACCAGTTGATGGGCATCTCAATTTCCAATTCTTTCCCACCACAAAAAGAGCTCCTTTAAATATTTTTGGACAGAGAAGTCCTATTCCTTGTTCTTTTTGTGATACAAACTTGGTAATAGCATTAGAGGGTCAAAAGGTATGTAGTTTTATCGCCCTTTGTGCATAGTTCCAAACTGTTCTCCAGAGTGGTTAGAACGGTTCACAACTTCACCAGCAGTGCATTATTGTACCTATTTTTCACATCCCTTCTAGCATTTATCATTTTCCTTTTCTGTAATGTTAGCCAGATCTGATAGGTATGAAGTAGCACCTCAGAGTTGTTTTAATTTCATTTTTCTAATCAGTAGTGAGAGTATATTTTCATGTAACTATTGCTAGCTTTGATTTCTTCTGAAAACTGCCTGCGCATATCCTTTGATCAACTAGAACCACTACTTATTAATAAAATTAACATCAGTTCAGCATTTTCTAAAAGTCTATTAGAATGTTCAAGTCGCTATCCTAGAAATATAGTGATAGGCAAGAGGCATTTCTCTGAAGAAGCTTACATCTAATGTAGGGAAGGAAGCACAAGCACAGAGTGTGGTGTGTGGGTGTGTTTAATACATAGGTGTGTGTTTTGTGTCCTAAATTTTAATACTGTGGTCCAAAAGACACACATATAAAACCAAACCCTCCTTTAAAGGGAACAAGAAGTTGTATTTAGGAGCCTCAGAACATGGCACTATATTATATACATACTTGTGGGTTTGCTCATTGAATTCCCTTTTCTCCCTTTAGCCCTGGATACAAGCCATTTTTAAATGTCATTAAGCCACAACTCCAGAGACTAAGCGATATCACAGAAGAGCAGATCCAGCCTGAAGCCTTTCAGCCAACAAACAAGGTTCCTGAACAGGCTGCCAGCCCCAGAGCTGAGGAGAGCAGAAATTCTGCTTGCTACAGCAGCAGCCCTCCAGGTGAGGCTGCCAACAGCAGTGCTGCAAGCTGGACTGAAGGCCCCATGGCTGGATCCCAGGAAGAAGAACCTTTTCAGGATGGGACCTATGACTGTACAATCTCCTAACAGAAGTGGTCTTCTGTCACCATGGGCAGTATTAACAGAGTGCAACTGAGTGCACTGTGAACAAGTCAGATGATTTAAAGGGGAGAGATCTGTTCAAACTACTTTTTAACTCAAAAGAAATTTGTTTGAATCCATGAACAATGTGACTTCAAATAAATGTTCTTTCATTAAAAAAATGTTTTTTAAGCTGCAAAGTAATAAAGATTATTGTACAGATGTACATGAGAATATCTGGTTTTATTTTTAAGAGTTTAGAACTGTTAATAAACCATAGGGATGGTTCTCCAACAGCCTAAGCTTGTTCTCTCTGTTCTTGCAGCAGGTGGTTGTTTCCAAAACCACTCAGTGTCCTCCGTTACATCAGCTGTCTGTGAATTTGGCTACCTAATACACTTTGTGTAGGACCATACTCAAGTGAATTATGTGCCAGAGCTCATGAAGACCCCACAAATGGCTTGAAACTAGTATATTCAACCCAAGAACTGGAACTAACTCAAGTTCCTTCTTAAAAGTTTTACACCTGTTTTGCCTAGTTGCAGGCTGACAAGTTGGGATCTAAAGGGTACTGATGAATTATGCTGTTGGATACCACAAAAATATTTTGTACTAAAAAAGTGTATCTTTCTCTTTGTGAATAGTCTTATTTGTAAATATTCTCAAAGGAGCTGCTTCTCTGCTTGAGGCTTTGTATCATAGTTTGTAAGGTTTTAATTACTCTGTACTCGTGATATGCAGAAAGGGCACTCTGCTTTGGATTAAACAGTCTCTCTCTAATGGACATGGCAATACGAGAGCCTGGAAACCTTGATCATGAAGACAGACAATGAGGAAAGGCTTTATGCAAATTTGTTGGGGCTCTTATTTATTGCTTTTGTAAATGGATTAAAAATGGATTTTCTTTTTGTAAATATACTTGCTAATCCTGTATCATAGCTACTAAGCATCAGTAATGTAAACAATGCTTGCTTCACTGTCACTTTACAAGCATTTTATAATGTATTTCTGGATAAAGAAACAATTTTTCTTTTCATACAATACTATGGAAACATGTCTACATAATCCTTAGTTGCTTTATGGTACTTTCATCCCAGCCTACTATATTTACCACAATGTATGTAATACTAAATATCTTACAACAGTATTAATTTAGGTAGCTTGTTTGTACTGTGCAATTTGAACAAAGGAATGCAACATTATTTTATAAAAAAAACAAAAACATTTATTTTTGTAATGACAATGTATCTGATTGATGTGGACCAAATTCCTACCACCCAGTAATACACTCTTCTTGTAGTGTGGTATAAGCATACATTTTACTCTCAGAAAAATACAGCTATCCTGTTTTTGCTTGCTTTTAGAGCAAATGCAAACTAGCAAGGTTGGGTTTTCTTGTAGTTTTCTCTTAAGGGGAAAACTTAAGACCATTTAGGATACTTTTAGACCAAGTCATCAAATGTATTTGAAATTATTTTAGAGTTTGGTAATTTGCTGTTGCTTTACTTTTTATATCACAAGTGCAATAATATCAAATAATAAAATTCCTGGCTGGGTGGAATTTAAGTGATTATTGGTACTTAGGTCCTGTGGTGCTAGTTTTGAGTTTCAAATACCTTTCATATTTTGCTCTACCCTCATAAGCAGGCAGAATCTTGCATGTATGAGTGACAAAGTAAGTATTTAAAACACTGAGAAAATTCTTCAGTTTTGCTACAAAGGGCAATTTACTGTTTGGGATGAAGAGCTGGGCATCACAACACATCCTTGAAAGCAATTACAATCCTTATTCCATGAAATGATCTTTCCCAATGCCCTGGGAAAAGATGAGCTTAATAGTTTATAGAATTTTTAAGCTCATATAGTCTTTTGGAATGTGCAATAATAATTTAAGTCCCACATCTCTACATAGTAAAAGATGCAAATTTATTTCTGATGAATTACAATTAGGAGGCCTTGAAGAAAAGATTCTGCGAAGTTTACAGGTTTATTTTCTCCAGTAATAAATTTGTTATATATACTTTAATAAAAAAAAATTCAAATTATCCTTTTGACTGACTTATTGTACAGAAAACAGATCCACTGTTTAAGCCACATCTTAAATATAAATATACATGTAATTTGTCTACTCCTAAGGTGACTACTACACAACAATGTACGAAGGCAAGAAAATATTTGGGATAGATTCAATCTTTATTACAATTCTTTAATATGTATTTTCTAATTGGTGTACATAAGAGCAAAAATAAAACCATTCTAGGAACCTGACCTTATCTGACAATTGATAACAGAAATTATACTCTCTATTCCTCTACTACATGTGTTTCTAGAAGTAACTAATAAGCAAATGTATTCTGATGATCCCCTGCCTGCTGGATCTGGAGTCAGGAAAATCTGGATTCAAATCCTTCCTACGACATGCTGTCTTGACGTCAACCTTGGGCAAGTTACTTAAGTCTTGGTTTCTTCCAAGAAACCATCACTGCCAGGTATTTAGTGTGTTCCCTCAGGATGTCTAAATTAGACCTGAGCAAACAAGACTAAAAAGCAAAATCATTCTAATAGTTTGCACACTAAGCTTAAATTCAAGAATGCAGCAGAAAATGCAGCTAAATGAAAAACATACCTATCTAAGCACTTCTAAAGAATGGAAAGACTTTTGAAGGGAGGAATCAAAAAGGTCTACACCATGATGATGATTGACACACATGATGCATGTACTACTTACTGCAAATGTGCCCCTCAGAGCTACTCAGGACTAAAACAAGTATTAATGCAACAGGCTACAGTGACCTCCCTGAGCTTGAAAAATGATCAAATTTAAAGATTTTTTTTTTCTGGAGCAGGAATAGTATTTGCTAACAATACTCAATAAAATCATGCAAATTTTTAATTATACAACTGTGACAGCTAAATGCTAAGGCCCTTAATACCATCCTATACCTCTGGCCTTCTCACCAGTTTTCTACTTAATATGCAGAATATTTCAATGCACAAGAAAACCCTACCCAGATTGGGAGTGGGGAAGAGGGTCATAAACTTTTTCAACAAATGTAAAGAGTATTATTATAGCATATCTCCAGCTAAGTCTCTTACCCATAAGTAAATCCTAGAAAATCTAATAGGTTGGTCTAAAGCCCCTTCCAGTTCTAAATGTATTGAAATTGGAACAGGGCACATTTAGCCAAATAAAAAAAATTTAGGAATGATAGTGGTTAGTCTTCAAATACTTGAAGAGATGTCATGTAAAAGAGGAATATTTGTTCTGACTGAAGACCTATGAATAAAAGTTAGAAAAACAAAAGCAAAATAAGGAAAAATTCCTAACTTAAAAGATATTGAGTTCCCAGATACTGATTGATCGCTTTTGGGATAAGATTATTCCTGAGTTCCCTTCCACCAACTCAAATTCTTATTAAGAATTTACTTGAGGGGCAGCTACGTGGCGCAGTGGATAGAGCATCGGTCTTGGAGTCAGGAGGACCTGAGTTCAAATCCGGCCTCAGACACAAAACACTTACTAGCTGTGTGACTCTGGGCAAGTCACTTAACCCCAGTTGCCTTGCCAAAAAAAAAAATGTACTTCAGATATTACTATTAAGATTTATTTGAGATATTTAATCAAAAGATGATATAGGAGAAATAATGACCATTATGCTGACAAGTCCTCAGCTGGGGGTTACATGAACACTCTTCCTAACTGATCCACTGACCTCATCTCTTCAAATATATAGCTGTCCAAATAATCTTCCTGATAATTGTGTCTGACCATGACATCAGAATACCTAGCATGGCATTTAAGGCTTTTCACAACAGTTCTGGTGTATCTTCCCAACCTTATTTCATGTTATTCTTTTTTTTTGCACACCATGTTCCAGCTCAACCAGACTACTCTTCCTCTTATTCAGTACTTTGCCATTCCATGTACTCATGAGTCATCTCCAATAGCAGAAACTTGGTCCTTACCTTTCCCTATAGAAGTTCCTCAAGGCCCAGGTTGGAGCAAATGGGTAGAATGTCAGGTGCCAACTACATGCCAAACTGAATGCTACCTCTTCAATGAAACCTTCCCTATAGTGAAGACACTGAAATTAAGAGTTAAAAGACCTGGGTACAATTCCCAAACTGCCACCCCCTACCTACCTGCATGACCTTGACCCCTGGGGCTGTCTTATAAAATGGATTGTTGGATGGATTCAACAAGGTAGTCTCTAAGGTCTGCTCTATAGCTATCATTATAAAATATAAACAGAAATGAATACTCCTTGCTTCAAATTTTTCTAGGGTACTTTTGAAATTTATATTCCTAATATACTCCACCTTATAACCTACCAAATCTATTGTAGTATTTATTTGCATCCCATCTCATGGTGGTGGTATGAGGATCAAATGAGACAGGTAAAGCACTTGGCAAACCTTAAAGTGATAATGCTATTATTGCATATCAAGCACCACATTATATAAACTGTAGGCACTTAAAAAACACCGTACCACACACTGTTTTTAAATCTTACCCTCATTCTTATTTTCTCTTAGAGAATATGATCAAATATAGCCCAACCATTATCTGAACCTACACAATTCCTATGGAGAGGGTACAGAAATTTCTAGTGAGCACAAAGACTTTTATGATATTTTTTTTCCCGAGGGGTCCTCACCCTACTGAGCTCAAAATCATTTTGGTTGCAGACATGTGATTATTTTGAAATCAGTCAGTCTTTTTAGGTTGGTAGCCAGCTCATAGTCAGTTACATGTTACAAACATATAAGATCAACAAAACACAGCTTTCACTGTTCTTTATGTGGTTTCAAAATCTTAAAGGCTAAAAGCATGAAATCAGCCATGAATAATTTAATCTTTTTCAGAACACCCACTTGACACAAATACATTTTGCATTGTGTGGAAACAAAAACCAGGTATTGAGTTTTTTATGTAACTTTTTAAAGTCAGACTTGGAGGGAAAACTGTTACAGATGGCACCCTATTTTGTCCTCAGTAAAGCACAAGGAAATAGTAAAAATGACTACTCAAAATACCAACCTAGCAGCCTTTCCAAAGATTTAACAAATCATGCCCCCCAAAATACAGATGAAGCCAAGTAATATGTGTGTGTATGCATTTGTGCTTTGCTGTTGCTCAAGGTGGAGATGCATAATTAATAAAGGCCCTTAATTGCTTCAACTTTTAGTGACAGATTGAGGTTGAAAGTCACATAAACTAAGGAAAAACCTGCAGGGAGAGTTTCTAGACTTAAGAGTGGATGGTAGAAGGTAAGACGATGAGAGAGAAAAGGAATAAAACATGGTTAACTAATTGAGCCTTAACTCATTTTACCATCTCTTTATTTAAAAAAATTTTATTAACATTTCAAATGTTGATGATTTGAGTAGCAATCTCTTCCAATCCACTGCAGCTGAGCAACCAGCAACTCCCAAATAACTCGGCTTTAATTTCTATGAAGTTGAAATGTACAGTTTCAATCAAAGGTAAAAATCCTACCATAGCACACATTCCAGTTAAAATGTTATATTCTTTGGTCACATCATCCACCTTAAAGAACAACCATGATTATATTTTAATTACAATTTTACAATCAAAACAGATTTTTAAAAACTTACATAACCTTTGAAAGGAGGGGAAAGGGAGTGAAGGGAAGGAGGGAGAATTTCAGAGGCTGAATAATGTTTCCCTATAAAAAGGAAGCAGGATGTTAAAAAGTTTAAGTAACATAAGGCAGCAAGTAAATCTTCAATAATCCAAAACAAACCAGGCAACTCAAATCAACAACTAGGTGTGAGTGTGTGTGTGCGCGCACGTGTGTGTGCACGCACGCGCATATGCATGTACATACACACAATTTGTATGTTTATTTTTATAAAGAAGGCTTCCTGAGTCAGCAAGCTGGCTATCTAT